TATAACACAGTTTGTCATTATTAGTATATTTCAGATAAAATCCAGCGTCATAGCCCCTCAAATAATATAATAAAAAATAAATAATTAATAAAATTTGGATCCCGTTTCAAAAGGGACTTTAACTTTAAGCCCAATCCCAATCCTTTCCTTTATAATAATTCTCTTACTCAAAAACAATACAAAGCATACAAAATGACAATGCATTTCACATTGGCCATAAATATATACGGTGTGTACCAAAAATGCCGCTCTCCCAATATGTGTCGTACTTTCTGAATAGGACAATGTAATGTTATAATTATAGAATAGACTTAAAATTTTGAACCGTAATTTTAACTGTAAATATTAAATATATGTGGGATGTTTTTTTTTTTTAATGTCTAAGGTGGGTAACTAGTGCTAGTTTAAAAACGGAAGTTACGCTGTGAGGTTCTGTGTAATTTCGAGCGACGGCTTGTCAGGTACACAACTTTCTTTTCATTATTATAACCCTCTTTAAATTAGGCAAACTAAAAATCAAATACTAAATAGACTTTCTCCAATTTTTGACTTAGGAATTCAGAAACATTGATCAGTTGGTATTATATTTTATATCATATAAAGAATGTCGCTTTTTGTTTACAAAATCCGCTAACAATAATAATAAGGCCGCAATATTATTATTATGGCTTTGGGCATAATAAATAATACTAATAGTAATATTCGGGTTCGATATTATTGATCTTATTAGAAATTATGCCTGTTTCATGTTACCCCTCGATACGAATTAAAGACTTTCATTGAATTGTTTGAATGAAGGATTCATTTAAATAATTCAATTAATGACTTTCACTTTCAGCTGAGAAGGCCATAGTCTAGGCTACTACTGTGCTGCGTGCTAAATTGACATTACAATCATTACAAATAATTACATGACATAGCTTTTTACTTTTGAATTTTGCCTTAGCCTAATAACTAATATTTTTTTTAAAGTTAATAATAATACTATTATTATTAATATAGTATAGACTATAGACATTTAAAGGCAATCCTCCGAAGTCCGGTCCCAAATTATTTCGTATGAAAAAAACTGCAATGCACAGTGTGTATTGTTTGAAAACAGCAGATATGTCAGTCATAGCTTTTGTAAATAACTGTAACTTTACAAACCAGTCAGTAAATACTAAATGTTGTCATTGGCACATAGCATTTGCTAATACCAGCCGAAAACGTTCTGCTGGTGACTGTTGCGCCACTGAAAGGCCCCCACTGGCAAACAGATCGCGACTAGCGGGCCTACCACTCTGATAGCAGAGTTTATGTTTTGCTTGCATCCAAAGTCCTTCAATAGTGTGAATCTCCTGGTCTACTGGATCAACAAATTCACGCTTGTGCACAATGACAGCGTGAGCATAAATCTCGTTGTTGAGCTGACCGACATTTTGATATCCTCGCCAAGCGTCCGTGACGGTAGTTGTTTCTGGTAACACATGATTAGTGATAATGCGCATCTGGAAGGCCAAAAACCTCCATCTAACATCGTCCACTAACGCAAACATGAGTTTCAAAACAGAATGATGCCCAAGACTTTTAAGTAATGATTAATCATTGGAAATAATTTGGGACCGGACTTCGGAGGATTGCCCATTTAAAAAACTAATCATAATCAATTTTCCTTTGCCATTCATTGCCCTAACTTTAACTTACCAGACTAACCTTACACTTACTGTTACTGTAACTGTAAATGATAAAGGCGATTCACATATAGTTAAGAGTTAGTGACACCTGTGTTTTTAAATAACTATAATTTTAGTAAATGTTAGTAAGATAACATAGATATTAGAATAAGCATAGTTATTTTTTCGAAGTGGATGCGTACACCTCGGTGGTGTACCTAGCGAAACCATCCGCTTTGGCCTGCGCAAACCGCGGCGGTGTACCTAGTGAAATCGTGGGCTTTGGCATGGGTACACCGCGGCAAAAATGTACCATTGGCTTGGTTTTAAGATATGCCTGTAAGAGAAGATCTTGTGTGGTCAAGTAGTTGAGTGCGCGCCTGGCGATATTATAGTTTTAGATCAATTCCCAGTAGGGTACCGAGTTTTGTTTTTCTTCAAATTTTTATTAAAAATATTTTATATTTAAATTATCATGTTCATTTGCAACAGTAGTTTCATGAGAAGTTTTTTGAAATATTTAGTTTCAACTAGTTGTGCCGGCCTTTGACTTTGAAAATACTGGTAATATTAGTAATAAGACATTAGAAAACAAACTGAAAAGTTCTGAAAGCGTATGTATAGTGTATGTAACATTTATAAGAGAAACATTTTGAATACTAAGTGATATTTTATTGCATTTCATCATTCTTTGTGTAGTTGAATATTTACATTTTACTTTTACGAATACCCAAAGAAAATACCAGAATATCAATAATATCATATGAATATTAATGTACATGGTCGTATTTCCACCATCTTGCTTTCACTATGCATTGGCAAAATGTACACACGATATCAACAGTTCATTCACAACCCTCAGGCTCACAGCAAATTTTTTGAAAAAAATAATAAATTTTTTTTTAGAAACTTACAGCGCGGTAGCAAACTGTATAGCAAAGTCATAGGTCTGCGTTTACCTTGTTCATGGCAGAATTTGTTTCCAGAATGGCATGCCATGTGCTATTCTCAGGGTAAAACACGACGTTTTCTCATGGATATGCGTATGGGATAGGATTTGCGCTATTTCAACGTTTTTTTATTGGTTGTTTTTTGTTAAGAGATCGATCCTTGCCGTAAAGGGGGTGGGGGGTGTTGGGGAATGAGTTATGGGCAGAGACTTAACCAAAAAGGGGGGCCTACTCAAATCACGACTCTGGATAGGGGTTGTCCACAAAAGACGTCCGCACAACAAACTTACCCGGAAAAGAGGGGTGGGGGTGGTGCTGATATCCGCCTACATTTTTTTTACTAGTGTGTAATGCCAATGTAAGACTAATTCAATGATAGTTAATTATTGTTAAAAGACTTTTAAAAATCACTGCAGTGTTTCGTATTGAACATCATACTGTATATTGTTGTTTTGTGTTGACAATCGCTTGGTATCAAATTGACAATGCCTCGGACAACTTTAACTTCAAGACTTCATGATCAATGTATGTGATTCTCTTCCCATAACTGCCGTAATGTCTTTGTGCCGTAATTATATCTTGGTGCTAACAAAATAGATACACTGGCTTCCCATTACAATTTTATAATTATAATACCCCCCCCCCCCAAAACCGGGTGGGGGGAGGGGGGAATAATTTCAAATTAGCTCCCCTTAGCTATGCCTATTGAGATTCACAATCATAGGCTTTAACTTACTCCAATTAATAAATATATTTGTATTTCATTATATTGGGGGAAATAAAGTAAAGGGATTAACTTTAAAAATAAATCATGGTTTAACATTACACCCCAAGCCCCCTTCCTTCCAATAAATAATAAGAAATGCTCTACAAGTGCTTTGCCACATAAGAGTGGTACTTACACAATATTATCCTCCCAAGGTACTAAACGAATTTTATATAAATAGTTTTCAGTTTTAACAAGAGTATAACATTAAATCTACAAGTACTGGTTAAGCCAAAAAGTTAAAGACTGGCAAAGACCATGGTTTTGCTACTTTAAATCGCTGCGGTGTATGCAGGCCACAAACGATTTAGCTAGGTACACTGCCGCGGTTCTTTTTGTTTGAAAAAAGTCCTAAAATGCCATATCCACATATATAATGTGACATTTAATTTTATTTTCAGTGCAATGTGATCTGTTAATTTGTTACATAACATTATTATTATTATTAAGCTAAAATGGAGTTATCTAAAATGCCGGTCCAATGTAATATAATAGGTCATGGAGGTTCCATATTCAAAAGCTTTAAAATTTTTGCTCTGAATTTATTTGCTAAACAATTTTTTTCTCATTTTTTATTTTAATCATGGCAGTGGGGCAGGGATTTAGGAAAGGGTCTCCTCTCTCTAGAAAAGTATGTTGAAATGTCCAGTGAAATAGTGACAACTAGCATATTATGGCATGGGGATTTCATTTTTCAACCAATCAAAAGACATCTTTTTTTCTGGTGTTCACTTTGGGGTATCAGCAAGGATGCATTTCTTTTGAACCTTGCCTTGTAAGTTTAATTGTAATAAAAAATAATTGTAATAAAAAATGAATGAAAATTTTTATATTAATAATAATTAACTTATCAATAGTTAGATTTATTTTATGTTGCAAATAATGCTCATTAAAGAACAGGAAAGTTGTCATACATAATCCAGGTCTAACTGTAAGTCCCTTTCACTTGACCCAGTGTTGTGATGTTGCTGCACTTAGTTTGAGAAATATTTTGTTCAAAAATAAAAAAAAATTCATAATCCTTTAGTTTTAAGTATAAATTAGTATCACATAGATTCATGCTAAATCCCATCAATGGGGAATTAATGACTATTTAAATTTTTTATAAAAAGTATATACATTTAGATGAATATTTGCATATATAGCCAACCCCTATTATTTAAGTAGCTTTTTTACCATAAATTTTTCGCATTATGCGCTGCAATACACGGTAAGTCTAAGGTTGGTGTCACTCAGTGGCAGACCTGTTTACTCCTACGATGTTTAATATTGAGGCATCTTTTATGATTGTACGCCAAGACCTGTCATAACTACACTATATATATTCCGGTAGTATTTCCAATTTTTTTTTTTTTAATGTTCTTTCAGTTGTTAATTTTAGCTCCTTTCTACATTGTTAGTTTTAGCCTCTTCCTAGGCAGGGAAGGCATCTAGAAATGTGATTGTTGGATAACCATCTACAATTATATTACCTTTACGAGAAGGGAAGGGTCAGTGTAGATTTAGGAGATTTTATGTACCGGTGTGCAGGGGGGTCGGGGTGTCTAAAGATTTAAATCTATAAAAATATTATTTGCACATTTTTATAATAATGGTTCCAATAGTTGCTTTGTGTTTTCATAATGAACTCGCTAGACATGCAATAGTAACATCAGCATAGTTGAAATAGTTGCTCTATTGATAATTTTAGTGAATCCACTTTTTTTTTATTGTTGCTTTGTTGCGGTGTGATGTAATTTTGTGACATATTTTTTCTTTTGGCTGACCAAATTTTAACTTCCAAAATTTTAATTTCATTTTGAAAAGAATTGCTAAAGATGTCTGATGTCAAAGATGAAAAAAAAGAGGCAGAAGAGAAAGTTTATGGTGGTATAGAAGGCCCTAATTCTCAATATGTGAAACTAATATCATCCGATGGACATGAATTTATTGTTAAAAGAGATCATGCACTTACATCTGGAACCATCAAAGCCATGTTAAGTGGCCCAGGTAAGCATTTAAAAAAAAAAAGAAAAGTCATTAAAAAAAAAACAATGTCATTAATCAATTACGTGTGTTAATTTTTAATTTGTATTGACATACGGTAGGGAAGGAATATTAAAGATTTTAAAATCTTTTGTCGCGGTATTATATTTAAAATGTCGCTAAAGAGGAAGCATTAATATCAATAGAACTAGAACCATTTGCTTTATTTGATTTAACTGTGTGGTTTTTAAAATTGAAATTGTTGTCTTTGCTTTCTTAAAAAGTCGTGAGAGCTTGGTTGGGTTTGAATAAAAGATTAGGATTTCACAAACAAAAAAACAAATTTGCTAGACTATGAGCATGTTTTTTATTAGAAATAAAAATCATGTTCCGGTCTCCATTATTACTTCATTTAAATTTTAGATTGATAGGAATTGGTGTGGGGTTGGAGTATGTGTTATTTGTAATATATTTTCTTAGTGAATATCGCTAAAGTAACCTAATTATTACATAAAATATATTAAATCCTCTAAATGTGCCATCCTCTTTTATAATTTTATATTGCCATTCTCTGTATCATTTAAGAAAATGTTTCCTTCTTTTCAGGGCAGTTTTCGGAACATGAGAACAATGAAATTAATTTTAGGGAAATTCCGTAAGTTATTTATTGTTGGATCAATTAAAACTATTTACAGTTATTGTTAGCATATTAGTGTTATTGCAGTCTGGTACCATTTTTATGTCAAATTTTGTAGGGAAGCTAGTGTTATTGTAGTGCGGTACCATTTTGAGGAAATATTACCATAATTTGTGACTTTGATGCATTGGGCACTCCCCAATTTTGTAAAAGGAAATCTGTTTCATAGCCCTACCCACTATCCCCAATTTTACCCACTGAATAAAATAATTCAGCATAAAAACAGGAGTGATCATGAGAAATTCAGGTTGGTGCACTAGTTTAATCATTAATAAGTAACTTTGTTTCCAATATATCGCCTCTCTCACAACTTTTTAATTTTTAATTTTGTAACACTAAACACTTTTGGCTTTGGAAGCTAATGCTCACCCCATACTCCAGTCACTTACCTTTGGTTTATAAGACACATGAAGGTTTGTTTGGTATTTTATTGAGAAATGGTGTTTGTGCCTTTTTAAACCACAAAAAAGGGCATCTGCTTATTTTTTAATTTGTTAAAAATATTTATTTGGCATGGTCTCAACAGTCTTAAAATGCTCAAAGTCAAGAAATAACTACAGAAAACAGTATACAATTTAATTTTTTTTAAGGTCAAAATAGCACTTCGTACCCAGTACATACTTTCACTATTATAAAGAAGTCAATTTCATTCATCACTTTTCTTTATCGCAAGCTTTTCCCCTTTGGAAAAGTTTGTATTAGCCCCTTCTACTGTGCTATGCTTTGAAAGGCATGTCTAAAGCACAGCACAGTGTAATGCCTTTTGCTGCATGATTTTTCTTTAGGGTGCCTTGTCATCTCTAACCAAAAGTTCACACCAGACTGAAAGTTTACTAGTTTTAGATCATGTTGTTGTCTATGAGGCAATCCAAATTTTTTCCTTTTTTTTATAAGTTTAAACTTAAGTATTTCTTTCGAGCTTTTTAACAAGTTTATTAGCAAGCTTAGATAGGAAATTACCAAACAAATGTTGAATCCATTGAAATTGATGTATACGTTGATATTGCTGACCCTAGGGCTAAAGTTAATTCTGAATCAAACCAATATAGTACAAGTGCTCCGGGTGTTTATGCCGATACTGACCATTTGTCATGACAGTAGACTTGTGGACATTTACTGATTTTGAAACTTATGGCTTTATAATTTAAATGCTATTCCATATACTATAAATAAGCCAAATTTTTATGATTATAGTATATATTTAAAATAAAGGGGGAAATTTTTATTTTTAAAAACCTGTTTCGAAAGTTGAGTTATGTTATGTCTCGTTACTTAGTCAGATAGGATGATTTACACAAAACTAAGTTAGACAAAAGTAGAGACATTATTTTGTAGCACTTTAAGAGTTCAAAAAAATTTTGATTATTAAAATAGAAGATGCAGATTTAGCTACTAGTAAATTCTAATAAGAGTATGTTAAAGACAAAATGAATGTTACATAAAAAATGTGTTTAATTATAGTAGATATTAGATGTGCTCTTAATTTTTGGCCAGGTAGTTTTTGATAAATTTTAAAGATGATTTAATAAAATTTAAACTTTAAAACAAATATTGAAAAATGTTCATATCGTGGTTATAGTGGAAAGGCTAAAATGGGTGACTACAAATTTTTATAAAAAAAGTTAAAAGAAAAGGGAAAATGTGTATTTTATTGAAAATTAATTTGAGTTGTGCTTCCTTACTTTAAGGAAAACACCTTGATCAAAATATGAATCTATATATTCCCCAGGTCCCATGTGCTTCAGAAAGTTTGTATGTACTTCACATACAAAGTGCGGTACACAAATTCTTCTACAGAAATCCCAGAGTTCCCAATTGCACCAGAAATTGCTTTAGAGTTGCTCATGGCTGCCAACTTTCTTGACTGTTAAGATATTATTTTTAATAATTATTATATGAAATTCACCTAGCAAGAAACCGTTTTTTCATTATTTCAAGATTGGTGTAGAAGAGCATGCTGAGACAGGGGAAATGCATTTTATTGATTTTTTGTGGTACAACTAAACCATTGGCAAAGTAAATTATTTATGTTGAATACAGCTGGAATAAGCAGTATTTTTTTAAAGATAATATACTTGTTTAAATGTACTTGCTAGGAAGAAAATAAAAATGGAATTTGAATAGCATTTCTATTGCATCAATGCTTCTAGAAAAGTGTGCAAAAGTGTAGACATTGCCTTTTATTTAAATTTGACTTATTAGTCTTTGCTCTTTTGAAGTCCATAATAACACTACATACAAACAAGCATATGATGTAAACAATTCATAATTGTGTTAGAAAAATATGTTAAACATAAATAACTTATTCTGTGTTTCTTTTAACTAATTGCTAGTTTGAGATCAGCTTAGTTTATTTTTTTTTTTTATTTATTACCGGGTACATCAAACTCAAATAAATAGCACCATCTGCAACAATTGTTAATTATTGAAGGTGCGATGCGATAACATAGTACAGCTAGCTTTATGCTCTCCTGCATTTTCGTTTTTTTACAGTGCTGTGTAATAAATATTTGGATCCTAATTTTTACAGTGGTTATTAAAAATAACAAAATCAATTTGTTTTGTTTTTTGTATTTCCTTTTTCTCAGAGTAATGTATTTCAGAGCTTTCAAAAACAAAAACTTGGTCAATGGTTAATTTATTTGCAACTTCTCAACAACAAAGGTTTGTTATTTCTATTCTCATTGCAAGTATAATTTGCTTTCCAGAGACAACTTGTAATCCAAAGAACACTAATATCAAAACCAAATTTCACCTTAAGTAACAATTGAAACTTGGTTGATTAGTTCCAAAACCTAAATAAATTCATCCAATAATTATGATAACACGATAAAATTGGATGCTTTCATTAATTTACATTTAAATTTAATATCAAATATTTAAAATTTAATTGATCCTGTTGTGAGGGTGATGAGAGACGTGTCACGAGAACATTTTTTATTGCAATTTGCTTTATTGTAACGAATCTAAGATTGAAACTGGGCACATGACAAACAGGCCTTAAGAATGCTTCCAAACAGGATGTTTGAGCTAATGCTACACAATAAGTTGTCATTATAGATCATAGAGTTTGTGATTACATCTTCTCTTGATGACAATTAAAATAAATTTCCCATCACTTAGCTATTCAGAGACATATAAGTTATATTATAACAAAGAGTCAAGCCCTAGAAAGTATATTCAGGTTAAAAAGTATGAATAGTTTTCCTCTCCCCAACACACTGATGTGGCTATGCGTTACAAGTGGCAGTTTTAAAACCATAAAATTATGTTAAGTCTACGGTAAACATCTGAGTTTCTTTCTTACTTGAAACTTGTAGGATCATGAATCAGGAGAAATGAAACACTGATAAGAATGCCATACAATTAAATAACTTGCCACATTTATGATTTTGCGTATTATACATCAGTTATTTATATATGCAAGATAGAGACATAGTCAAGTTTTGAAGAAAAAAATTGTATAAAGTAGACCAGGGATGTCAAACTCACGGCGTGTGGGCCATTTGGGGCCTGCAAGACGATATTTTGCGGCCCGCCACATAACAGCAAAGTTTATTGGAATGCGGCCCGCGAGTTTTCCCCATTCTCCTATCTATAATATGATAGTTTCATCCAGACCAGACTTCTTAAGCAATGGTTTGATGACAGCTGATTTACAAAGAGGGGGAACAGTGCCAGAATACAATCTTTCATTTATTATGTGGGTTATCGTTGGGAGCAAATCATGTAATGACTCAACCAACAGGGGGTGGGGATGGGATCCAAATAACATGACGTAGGTTTAGATTTTAAAATTAGACTTCCCCGAAATTGAATTTATTTAATTATGATAATGATTTAACAAATCTTTCCTGTTTTTTTGCACAATTTCAGTAAACAAAAGTTTGAAAGGCAGCCATCTTGTTGCTAGCCGGAATTTCCTGCTGGTCCTTTCTTCTTATAGTGGAAGATGCGCCCCACCCCCACCATTTGCGCTTCAAATGCAGCTGATGTTCAGTGCAATTCTAAGTTCAGGGAGTGAATGGAGAAACAGACAAGCATGGAAAATTTATGAGAGCATTGCCCTCCACCTTCACCGAGGTTTCCAGGTTGTTCAAGCGGATCATGTGACTTTTTGGGAGAACTTATCTGTGTGAAAAGCTCTTTTTCCCACTATGAAATTTAACAAACTTAGTGATGAGCATCTTCAAGCTATACTGAGGGTCTCAGTTGCTTCCTCACTCAAGCCTAATGGTGTTAAAAAATAAGCGCAACCAGTTCTCTGGCAACAAGGAGTAAGAGGAAGAAAGTGAAGCCTAGTTCTTGAGAACCCTTAATTTTTTATTTTGTTATTAATAGGGATTGAGCAGATTGTACCAGTTGTACTTTTTTTAAATTCGTAATCGCTTTTTTTTTAACTTGATGTGGCCCAGTCTCACTCAGACTCTACCACGTGCGGCCCTCGGATGATTTGAGTTTGAGACCCCTGATGCGTCAGTAAAAATGTTTTTACCAACACCAACATCTGCAGATTTAAAAAGTTTTGCAATCAATTTTATTTTTGATTTAGTTGGCAAGATAAGCATGTTAATTTTTTTACCAGTTTTTCTTATCATGTTTGACGCCTATACTTAAAAGTCATTGGGGAAAATATTCATCTTTTTAACTTTTATAATGAAAAAATAAAATAGAATCACTTTTATTTGAATATTCACCTATCATTTTTAGATAAATGCAGACAATAGAAATATGTGGAGGTGCCTTGTCATGGCATTATAAAGTAAAATAAAGCATCATTCTATAAATGAGAACTGGGCGAATTTACATCTTCACACAATAATTCATAATTTATAATTTAGGTTTGATAGTTTGAGAAATTTTCTGAATATGGTTTTCCCAAAACTTTGTGACAATTTCGCGTTCATATTTCATAGACATGTCAATGTCTGGATTAAGATCACTGTATACCGCTGTGGATTTTACAGCCTGAATTAAATGAGAGTCATATTTACAAAAAGTTGACAAAATCCACTTCTTACACTCCACAAATTCTTCACTTGTTGACAATGAGTGTGGCAATAAACGGCTAACGAGTCCACTCAGCAGGGCTTCCTCTGCCGAAACTAGCTTTGCTGAGCAGAATAACTCCAAAGTCTTCTGTCGACCCAATAAACGGATGAGTCGTGTCGTTCCTCCGCCACATGCTGTGATACCAGCTTTCAGGTGGATGAAGCCGATTCTGGCAGTGGAGGCCATGACTCTGAAATCGCAGGCAACGCACAACTCAGCACCTCCGCCCAATGCATGACCTGATGAGACGTCAACAATGAGACATCAACAATGAGACGTAAACAATGAGACATCAACAATGAGACATCAACAATGAGACATCAACAATGAGACATCAACAATGAGACATGAAAGATGAGACTAAACAATGAGACATCAACAATGAGACATGAAAGATGAGACTAAACAATGAAACATGAAAGATGAGACTAAACAATGAGACATCAACAATGAGACATCAACAATGAGACGTCAAAAATGAGACATCAACAATGAGACATCAACAATGAGACATCAACAATGAGACATGAAAGATGAGACTAAACAATGAGACATCAACAATGAGACATGAAAGATGAGACTAAACAATGAAACATGAAAGATGAGACTAAACAATGAGACATCAACAATGAGACATCAACAATGAGACGTCAAAAATGAGACATCAACAATGAGACATCAACAATGAGACGTCAACAATGAGACATCAAAGATGAGACATCAACAATGAGACATCAAAGATGAGACTAAACAATGAGACGTCAACAATGAGACATCAAATATGAGACTAAACAATGAGGCATCAACAATGAGACATCAAAGAGAGACATCAACAATGAGACATCAAAGATGAGACGACAATGCGGCGTTCAATGGAAGATTTTAAGAAAATTAAATGAGGGAGAGAGGGGATGTTATTGTGTACGTCCGCAAGCTAGCTTTTTTTTTTTCTTCTTCTTTGCGCTGATGCGGATTGATATAGAATATAGATCCACTGCATGTTTCCTTGATTGTTAATTGTTTTGCGAAATTTCCTAGAAATTATTATAAACCAAACTCTTAGAAAAAAAATTCACAAGGGAGATCACTCTAAATATTTGGTTGCTATTTATCAACAAATGTAAACAATGCCGAGTCCTCCTCTGGTTAACTCTGGTTGATTTTAATCTAATTAGTTATATTTTAGAGTCAACATTATATTACGTACCGGTACACAAAAATAGTAAAATATTAGACCCCCTTGATGACACTGTCCTTTTTAAGCACCACCCGGTCCACCCCTTATGCCTAGGAACTAACCCGATACATGCTATAATGCCAATGCTAAGAAATGACAAATGAATTTGTTTCAAAATATTGGGTTTGCAATGTTAAAGTTAAAACATGAAGGATTTTAAAAAATAAACCACCTTTATGTTTTTCATATATTACTATAAAATATTTTATTTATTTTTGTTAGTTTTATCTTACAATTGTAAATCTCAAGACCTACTTTAAATACTTACTCTAAAAGGAAGAAAAACTGAAATGCAATTTCTATCAAACCCAGCCATAAGAATAAGAATGTTTTTTTTCTCTTTCTCCTTTTTCTTTTTTAATCTTTTTTTTTTTTTGCGGGGAGTGGGGCGGGGGGGGGGTGTGCATTTAAACAATGTAGGTATTCACTTGTTGCTTAGGGTAAAATAAATGTTTGGGAGGCACTGCTGTAGCCGTAAGCATGTTAAAATTTGTTTCGTGGGTCCATCCATCGCCACCCCAACACAGTCATAAATTAGGTCACACAAAGAAACAGTATGACGATTAATAAAAAAATTATTTTAAGACTTTAAAAAAAAAAAATTAATGTCATGAATTTCACAGATGTTTTGGTAAACATTGGTATTTTCAAAAATTAGAAAGATAATATTAGAGAGTGTCAAGATTTTCAGGATAATTAATAAAATAAATGTTCATACTTTCTGCAACCCCTACCCCCCCCCCCCCCCCCCACACACACACTCACACGCACACACACCCTTCGCACCAGTACGCGAAACTTGGAAAGAGCAATTTGCGATATAACATGAAACTATTCAGTTTTTCTGGTCTTGGAATTTTGACATTTGAAAATTTGAAGGGGATCTTTAAGAAGAGGGAAAGCTAACGTTGATGAAGAGATGACAGGTTCTCATCTTTGAAGACTGGGAAAGTCAAGTTGTTAAAGTTAAGATTGATGTTTCAATGAAAAAGGTCATTTTGGTGCATTTTTAAACTAAACGCTGTTACCTCAAATGCTATGGGTTTTTTTTTATTATGTCTTTTTTTTTTTATCAATTTTTGCTTAAGACTTAATTTACAAAAAAATAATTTTTGTTTAAGACTTAATTTACAAAAAAATAATTTTTGTTTAAGACTTAATTTACAAAAAAAATAATTTTTGTTTAAGACTTAATTTACAAAAAAATAATTTTTGTTTAAGACTTATTTTACAAAAAAATAATTTTTGTTTAAGACTTAATTTACAAAAAGATAATTTTTGTTTAAGACTTAATTTACAAATAAATAAGTTTTGTTTAAGAGATAATGTATGATATTGTTAAGAACTAATTGGGTCCGGGCCACAGGGCCCCCCTCCCTGACTTTGCAGGTTTTATTTAAATTCCTTTGTACTGTGACGCCTTCAGTAATGAGCAACACCACAAGCTGACTAAGTTTTGCCCCCCCCCCCCAACCCCATGAAAAAAACAGAAAGGATGCCCCTGCTGTGAGGATTCCGGAAAAAAAAAGTGTGGGGGGGGGGGGCAGGGACGCTGACACTATTAGTTTACAGCATCGGGTGACACCATTACTAGGGATGTATGTGGCTCCAGTGAACCACACGGTTTATAGATTATAAAATGACCACTCAAGCAATTAAACAAAAATACATTGACAAAATAGAAGCTACTTAAAGAATAAATGTAAAAAAATATATGAATTGATCAAAATTTCAAGAAAAAGCTTTCAGAATATAACAGTCCACCATTTATGCTAAAGTGGTTGATAGAGAGAAAAAAAAACAACAACAACGACGGTGTAGTTTGCTTCTTTACAAGCTTTCGGGTCGCCGTGGTGCAGACCTTCATACAACATTCATGGGGGTTTATTTGAAATGTATTTATTTATTTATTTAGGAATTTTTATATATATTTTACCTTAAAGCTCTAAGCGCTTTACAATTATTAAAAACATGTCAACTAACTAAAATAAAAATGAGACATTAGGATTAGTAACTATTATGACAATGTGAATTTTTATCTTTCAATTGGTACCTTGAACAAGTGCAACACTTATGAGAGGCAAGCTGTTGAGACGAGCGAAGCAGTCGATCATAAACGCCGTGACTTCATCTGCGGTGACGGGACAATTTAACGCGGCCCCGGAATCTCCCCCCGAGCAAAACTGCCCGGCAGAGCCCATCACTATTCAACCCTTGCCGCCGGACCAGTGTTCTAGCTCGGACAAATGAAGATACATATCTGAGAGCATTTTGTCTGAAATGAAGAAAACAATTTTTTTTTTTGTGTAAGGTTTGTAATTTGTATGGAAACGTAACCGTTAAGCAAAGTGTTTCATGGTTACAGAAAGGACATGCGTGACTGAGGTTTTTGACGGACGAAAAAAAAAAGTACATCTTTATTAGTGCACTGGAGTAGCTGGGGTTGTTTCCGTCAGGGAGCGTCGTGCACTGGAGTAGCTAGGGGTTGTTCCCGTCAGGGAGCGTCGTGTACTGGAGTAGCTGGGGTTGTGTCAGGGAGGGTCGTGCACTGGAGTAGCTAGGGGGGTATTCCCGTCGGGGAGCGTCGTGCACTGGGGCAGCTCGGGTTGTT